CCCCAAAACCCCAAAACCCCAAAACCCCAAAATAACTTATGGATGTTGAGTGTAAATTAAAAATATACGATTTGTTCTGAATGCTTATTGTATGAGATATTAATTTATTAATGAACTCTATTATTTCATCTTCTTTAAAATCTCGTCTAGTTTTGACTCCATAGGTTTGATTGAGTTTTCCATATTATCAATCTTAGAATTAATCCTAGCTTTTGATTCGTCATCTTCTTCCTTCGCAGAAATTATTGGTTCTAATTTCTTTGATATTTCTGATATTCTAACGCACATTGTCCTTTCAAGACTTATTATTCTATTCATTATAGGAATGAATGCTTCATTATTTCCAGGCCTAACAGTTTTGTCAAAAGCTGGGAGCCACTTATTATCTTTTCTGGCTAAGCAGTTATTGACATAAATGTCAACTGGGTCTTTGATTTCATTTTTATCCAATAGTCAAATATATCCCATATAGTACATGTAGTCCCAAATATTGTGGGTGAACTTGCAGTGAGCCTCGAAATTTAGGATTTGGTGAGCTGGCTTATCACAAATAAAGCATCTTGACTTCTTTGCTAACTCAATTGCATCTCTCTTTGCTCTGCTTTCTGAAAATTTATCAATAATAATAGCTCCGAAAAGACTAATGAGCACAACTAGAAAGATTATATGGAAGGTGAAATCATATATCAATCTGCCAATTCTAATGTTAAATTTCTTTGTATCTTCATCAATCTCCAGAAAGACTGGGGATCTATCATTCTCTGAAAGAAAGGCTCCCACTCCGTCCTTGTACCAAGAGTCGAACACAACAGCTAAAGATGTCATGAACGGTATATTTGTGTCAGTGGTCAGCTCATTAAAGTCTTCGTTATAGAAAATATACCCGAATACTGAAAACCAGAAGAGAATGATCATACAATAAGCGAAAATGGCGAATACCTTATACCAAGAGATTCTGATGTCACTAATAACTTGTAGAATCCAGGGCGTGAATATCAGAGGATACAGCAACAGAAGTCAGATAATTTCGAAATTAGCGTAGCTCCAGATTGAAATGACCAGACATATAAGAATGCACCAAAAATTTCTATTAGTTTGATAGAGAGATTCTCTGTAAAATATTTGGCCAAAACTCTTTAGCATCGAACCTAGCATTTTTCAAAGCTTAGCCACTCCAAGATCTACAAGAGCATCAACATCTCTTGCCTCAATAGCATCTCTTTGTTGTCTAGTAAGGTCAGGCCTTGTTGAAATGATAAAACTCTGGATGATTAAAAAGTAAAGGAATAGCACTGTAAACCATATACTAAATAAAATGTGAATAGCTTTAGTCAATTTTTGGTGCATCCCAAAAAGCTCTGGATCTCTGTTAATTTCTCCATCTTTCACCTCAAGAGTGAATAGTAATGAAATGTTTGCAAGAACGATGGTAAACTTCATCAATCGAGTAAGCCAGTTGTACTTCTTAGCCACATCTCTTGGGCAGAGAAGAGCAGACTGAACTTTTTGTTGAGCGAAGAGCTCATGAATCTTGCTGGTCGCAAATTGCATAAAGGAAGGGATAAAGGTTTGAGAGATATCCAAATTTGCGTGATCCCATAAACTATTTTTCTCACTTTGCATCAATACTAAGAATGGAGGAGTTATGATAAAATACTTAGTCACTAGCTTATCACGAGGCATGAGCACTTGAATCTTAGAACTATGGCTATCGAAGAACTTAGTGGCTCAGCTTTGAAGACTTTCATTATTCTCAAAGGACTTATATTTCTACTCAGTAATAATGTCATATTTATATCGACATTTCAAACTGCATTTAGATTTACGTCTGCAATGGAACCATTTGAACTTTAACCCCCATAATAATCTCAAGTATGTTTTCAACCAGGCTTCGTTATCACGCTCTTGTACTATGTTTGAGTTATCTTCACCATTGTTTTTCCAGAGTCTAGCTAGCAAATAATAGCATTGAAAACCAATGTTGATGTTGTAAATTTCACTGATCGTAGAATTCCTATCCAGAACTTCAGGGACGAAATGATCATATCGAAGAATTCTGAACTGTACATAATTCAATGTCATCAAGCTGATTATGGTTTGTCTAAAAGCACCCTTATTCATGACTTTCTCTCTATTGCTTCTTCCTGCAGAGACGAGATAGTTTATCATAATCGACACTTTTTCTTTCAAAAAGTCTAATCTTTTAAGTAATTTAGCCTCAGACTCTCTGAGACCAGCTTCATTTGTAAATGGTAGCAGAAAATAAGCTGAAGAGAGGTCTCCTTTTATTAAAAACGCTTGGTCTTCTTTTGTAAACCCACTCCTTAAAATTGTAAAGCAATCATCATACACAGAGGTATGAATATCTCTGATAGATTGACCACTCTGGTCTTTATACATCACCTCGAGCAATAAGTCAATTAAATCAGTTAAAACATTAATCATGCCCTCAATACAGAGCAAGATGACACCAGCTTTGAGCATTCCTGCCATAATGTCTAAAAGTATCATAGCTTTCTGGGAATCGCTTTGGTTCTTTAGATAATCTACCCAAAAATGAGAATCATGACGTAGCTGTCTTGCTCTATTCAGGTATAATTGTAGACCTATAATAGTCACTAAAGAGCCATACCAATTGCATCTAAAGGTTCTTGGAGATCGCTAGGTCCTTGACTTTTTCGTTTCTTCAGAAATCTGTTGGTACAGCTTACTGATAAAGTATAAAATGAATCAATCGAAAATGTAATCTCTGGGGTTTTGGGGTTTTGGGGTTTTGGGGTTTTGGGG